AGCAGATCCCACAGGATGTGAGGGGAGCAGATCCCACAGGATGAGGGAGCAGGTCCTGTAGGATGAGGAGCAGATCCCATGGGATGTGAGGGAGCAGATCCCACGGGATGAGCAGCACTCCTGGTTCAGAGCGGACGCGCAGGGGGAGAAGTGCAGAGCTCACCGTGCCCGTGTGTGCCCCGTGTGTGCTGCAGGCTATGCGGGCAAGATCAGCCAGATGCCGATCATCCTGACCCCGCTGCACTTCGACCGGGACCCCCTGCAGAAGCAGCCCTCGTGCCAGAGGTCAGTGGTCATCAGGCCCTTCATCACCAGCGACTTCATGACGGGCATCGCCGCCACGCCGGGCGCCGAGGTGCCGGAGGAGGTGAGGGCATCCCGCAGGAGGGGTCCTGTGTGCACCCAGCACAGTGCACAGGATGTACCAGAAACCTCAGGGCTTCTCTCCTGCTGCACTGCTGGAAAATAGCAATTGATGGTTTTCTGAATATTGATCTGCCCTACATTGGGGAAATGTTGGGGAAAGCCCACATGGATTTCTGTGTGGGTACTTTACTCTGACCATAACTTATTTCATGTCTATCCCATGAGATATTTGCTTATCAATACAGCAGTGTGTTCTGTGTTTTGGTTTTGGTGCTAGATGATCTTGGACAGAGCACAAAAGGTGATTCTGGTGGAAATAACGCAGAAATACAACTTTTTCTGTGCTGGCCTCTTCTGGATGGATGCATATTCCAAAGTCAGGGAGCTCATCCCTGGAGCACTCATTGCTCCTTGGTGTTCCAGCTCCTGTTCCCCTCCTGAGCCCCTGCTCTCCTCCCTCAGCCCTGCTCCCCTCAGCTCTCCTCTCACTGCACTCTCCTCTCACCCCACTGCCTTCACCTCGAGTTTCTTGCTGTTTTTCTCTGTTATAAATAATCATTAAAAAATTGTGGTGTTCTGGGAAGAAAAACTAACAGAGTGAGGGGCTGGCAGATGGGTATGACAAATCAAAGGCTTTGGAGCAGAGCTGAGCTAAAATACAACCAGATAAAGAGGAAAGAATACCCCAGCCATTCCTGGGAGTTAGAGTTAATTTTTGCATCATAATTGGAAATTGCCTGACATTAGGAATTTAGGATTTACTTTTCTTTGGCACTTTTGGTTTTACTGAAACTTGCAGTTTAACATCTCAGTGCCCTGTTTGCTCTTTAAGTCACTAAGACTACTTAAGAGTCAGGTTCAGGCTTTTTCTTTTTTTCCTAACTTTATCCATGTCCAGTCAAGTACTTTGTCCCTCTGGGAATGCACTGTTGGAGCAGGATTGACCTTTTATTTTAAACACACTTGAGGAGCATCTGAGCATTGTTTAGTAATTGTATATAATTGAAGTCCTCTACTTTGAGGCAGCCTGTCCATGAAAAGAGCAGCTCAGGTTGCCATGTGAGCTCCTATCCCACTGTATAAAATGAGGATTCATTTGTCTTTACAAACAACCAAACACCACAAAACCCACCCCCAAACAAAAGCCCTGCATTCTTCAAAATGAAAAATGGTTGTTTTAAGGATAGGTGGTAGTGTGGTGGGTAAGTAATAGGGGTTATAGAGAATAATCATATTTATGGGGGAAATAATCAAGTTTTTCTATGCAGAACAATGTAGTGTTAATTTGTGCTTTCACTATAAACAGAACAGCATGTCATGTACGTGGTGTTGGGAACTGGGGGATTTTTAAGGAAGCTGAACTTCTCAGGATCATCAGATTCCCCCCTGGAATGTTGCTGCTGACATGGATTAACTGTGAGCTCTGGAAGATGACTCTCACTGGAAAGCAGAGGTTTCCTTCCAGCTGATTTTATTCCATGTCTGGTGGCAAAGTGCTGGTCCCAACAGGCTCTGTGTCCAGCACAGTTGGTGTCAGCAGTTTGCCCTCCAGCCTTTCCAGGGTGATTTTTGTCATTTATAGGACATGAAGTAACACGAGTGCACACACCGCTGTTCTCAGGGTGGAAAAGAAGGAATTTTATTTTCTGGCCCTAACATTTATAGATTTCCAGAAGTGACAGTGGATTGGAGTGCCACCTCTCCAATGACACTGGACAAACCAACAGTCCATCAAATTTCTCTGCTTTTATAAAAGAATGCAAAACAATAAGTTATTTACAGAAAGTGTGTGAGAAAGTTCGTTACAAGAATGCAAACATCAGAAGGCTTAGAAAACCTTAAAAAACCAGGGTGACAGATTTTCTTTGGGTCTGTTTCGCACACGTTTTCCTGATGCTGTGTTTGCCCTGCCCCACAGGTGGTGCTGAAGATGGTGGCAGAGATCAAGAAGATCCCTGGCATCTCTCGGGTGATGTACGACCTGACATCGAAGCCGCCGGGAACCACGGAGTGGGAGTAGCTCCCTTTTCCCTCTCAAGTACTGTGTGCAGTCTAAACCATATCAGAAACCATTCCCAGTGTTGACATGCAGTACTGTGAAAGCGTGGCTGGAGCTGTGCAGGGCACCAGCCTGCCCTGCGGGGCAGAGGAGCGGCCCAGGGCTCAGACTGTACGGGTAAATGACGGTGCCAGCGCTGCCAGCCAGGCCCCTCTGCTTTGCCTTTGCCTCTCCAGTGCCCCCCATGTCCTGTTACCTGTCATTTCGGTGTCTCTTTGTTTTTGTACACTGTGGAAAAAGAAGCAGTTTATTTACTTCTACCACAAGCATTGTTACAGCCCGGCCGTGTAGGAGGAGTCGATTCTTTGTGACCAACCGCTTTGGGACGGATTTATTATAAATAAATATTTTGCCAAACGGAGTGGTGGGTGCTGTTGAGTGGCTGTGTGTGCCGTGTGCCGTGCCCTTGCTCTGTGCTCCTGGGCAGGGCAGCAGGGGGAGCAGTGCTGGCCTGTCCTGCACTGCTGTCCGTGTGTCTGTCCCTGCTGGGCCGCAGCAGAGCTCCCAGCTCCTCCTGCCCTGACAAACCTGGGCGTGCAGAGCTGCTGGGCTGTGCCTCGAGTGTCCCAGCACTGCCCTGTGCTTCCCGTGAACCTGCTGAGGGTTTGTGTCCCGCAGCTGTGCTCTGCCAGGGGATTTGGTCATGGTTTGTGTTGTGCACCTTGGCTCTTGCAGGGTTTTGGTGATGGTTTGTGTCATGCAGCTTGGCTCTGCCAGGGTTTTGGTGATGGTTTGTGTCCTGCAGGTTTGCTCTTGCAGGGTTTTGGGGATGGTTTGTGTTCTGTAGGTTTGCTCTGCCAAGGGATTTGGTGATGGTTTGTGTTCTGCACCTTGGCTCTGGCAGGGGTTTGGTGACGGTTTGTGTTCTGTAGGTTGGCTCTAACAGGGGATTTGGTGATGGTTTATGTCCTGTAGCTTTGCTCTAACAGGGTTTTGGTGATGGTTTGTGTCCTGCAGCTTTGCTCTAACAGGGGTTTTGGTGATGATTTGTGTTCTGTAGGTTGGCTCTAACAGGGTTTTGGTGACGGTTTGTGTCCTGCAGCTTTGCCCTGGCAGGGTTTTGGGCTGTGCTGTGCTCAGCTCAGTCTGTGAGATCATCCCAGGTGTCGGGGTGAGCTCCCCAGCCCTGCAGCCCCTCCTGTCACTCCTGTCCTGCTGTTGGTGCTGAAGCAATAATTGGAGCTGGTTGCTGGACAGGAGCTCTCTGTGTTGTGAGGCAAAGCCATTTCCATCCCCCTGAGCCCCTGTCCCATGAGCAGCTGGATTCTGCCCTGGGCCCCACTGGGGCAGCTGGGATGTGCACCCACCCCCTTACCCCTGGTTTCCAGTTCAAGCAGTTGTGTTTTGTTCAGCTGAGAGATCACTGCAGTACTATGGGTGAAATACTTGCTTTGAGCTGTTCAGCAACATGGAGAATTTCATGGCTGTGCCTCCTCTCTGCCCTTGCCTGCATTTGTGAACTGGAATCATACTGAAAGTGTTTGTTCCATATTTTTGGTGGCACGCATTTTCCTGCTCTTACATTCCCTGCCCACACGTTATGGAAATTGGCAATTTCTGCTCCCAGGAAATGCCCAACTGGTGTCAGTGTGTTATTTTGTCACTGGGGGTGTTCTGCACGAGGGGGAGGAGGTGGCACAGCCCAGGCAGTGCTCCAGGGCTGCTGGGGACATGGGGGCAGGAATTGGGGTGGGGGGCTCTGCCGGCCCCAGCCCTGCTCCTGCAGCCTGAGCTGCTCTGTCAGTGCCCCCTCCCAAGGGGTGGTGATGTGCACCCACAGCTGTCACAGCTCTGGGAGCTGCAGGGATGGCAGGGATTGTTGATTCCTGTGCTTCAGGGTGGCTCTGTGCCCTGCAGAGGGGGTGTTTGCTGGGCAGCCCCCAGAGCAGCTCTGTGCCCCGCTGGTCAGCAGGGCTGGGGCAGCTGCTGTCGTCTCTGCTGCTGTCTCGCTGCAAAGGCTGCAGAGCCAGCAGCTGAATCCCTGTGAGAGGCAGAGCCCCCTCAGTTCTCACAGCAACGGGCTCGCCCTCGTGGCTGCTGCGTTGCCTTGACAGCAGCAAACAAGCAAAGCTGAGGGAATCACTAAAAATAATGCAAATAATCCAGAGAGCTCTGCAGCCCAGCCCCTGCTGCATTCTGCCAGGCTGCCCCTGTGCAGCTGCAGCTGCAGGTGGGGTGTGAGGGGTGAAACGTGCTCCCAGTGAGGGCTGGGGCTGCAGGGAGCTGCTGAGACACCCCTGCAGCTCTTCTTTAATTCCCTGCAGGGTGAAACGTGCTCCCAGTGAGGGCTGGGGCTGCAGGGAGCTGCTGAGACACCCCTGCAGCTCTCCTTTAATTCCCTGCAGGGTGAAATCTGCTCCCAGTGAGGGCTGAGGGGTACAGGGAGCTGCTGAGACACCCCTGGGACAGCCCTGCAGCTCTGCTTCAGTTCCCTGTGGGCTGCAGCCCTGGAAAAGACTTGGAGCTGCCTCCTGACCCTGGGCACCCCATCTGCCGTGCACTGTCACCATCCCTGAGCCCCTGGGCTGCTCCCCTCTGTGTTCCTGGAGCTGGGCAGCCCCCCTGCCCTTCCTCAGCTCAGAAAGCTGGGTATTGGACATTCTAGGTGTAAACTATTGCACTATGAATCAGAATGTGTCATGGGAGGGGAGTCTGTGCCCCTCAGCCCTGCCTGCAGCTGTGCCAGGCCTTGCAGCCCTGCTGGGCTGTTTGGGAGGTTGGTGTGCCCATCCTGTGCCCATCCATCCCAGCAGCTCTGGGTGTTTTTGGGAGGTTGGTGTGCCCATCCCAATGGCTTTGCTGGGCAGTTTTGGGAGGTTGGTGTGCCCATCCATCCCAGCCCTGCTGGGTGTTTCTGTGCAAGCCCTGTGTACTGGACAGCCAGAGTGGAGAGGAACATCACACTCCGCTCACATTTCTCAAGAACCTGTTCTATCTAGCACCTAGTTTACAGACTGATACCTGTAGCTGCCCTGTGCAATTGTTCACCTCGAGTCCTCAGTAAAACATGTCAGCAATTAGAGGAATTTGTATCGGGGGCACTCCCCTTCAGTCTCAATTTTTAACATTTTTCTGCTTGTGAAATGATAAAGTACTGTGAGCCTTAATTTTTATCCACAAATAAAAATATTATGTTTGAAGCTTGGCGTGACTTTTTTTTATTTTATTTTTTAAGGGCTGATGTGTAAAACTATATTGTGAATAGGAGCGTATTTTGGGTTGAGAAAGCTGGTTTTATGGATGTAATTGATTTAAATGTGTGCTCAAAAGCCCCATTAGAGCTCTTCAGAGGATATTTCTCCTTTCCCAAGTGGTTGGGAATACAGAGAGTAATATAAAGCTGCTTGCAGGATTTCTTCCCTTTTTAAAATATTAGTTAGGGTGGAAAAAAAACGGGGTCATTCATTGTGAGGTCAATGAAGCTTTGGAGAGGGTCTGAGTTGTGCTGATTGCCATGGCTGGGGCACCCCGGGCTGCAGGGCTGTGCTTTGGGGTGGGGGGACAGCTCCAGCCAGAGCTGGGGCTCTGCCAGCCCCAAACAATCCCCCAGCACGGGAGCAGGGCCAGGGACAGTGCCTGGGACCTGCTCACAGGGGCTTGGGACTGGGGAAGGGACGAGGATCTGACTCCATGGTTCAGAAGGCTGATTTAGTATTTTATTATATAAATAAAATAATTTAATAGTACATTAAAACTATACTAAAATAATAGAAGAAAAGGTTTCATCAGAAGGCTGGCTTAGAATAGAATAGGAATGAATGATAACAAAGCTTGTGTCTCGGACAGAGTCTGAGCCAGCTGACTGTGATTGGCCATTAATTAGAAACAACCACATGAGACCAATCCCAGATGCACCTGTTGCATTCCACAGCAGCAGATAACCATTGTTTACATTTTGTTCCTGAGGCCCCTCAGCTTCTCAGGAGGAAAAATCCTAAGGAAAGGATTTTCCATAAAAGATGTGTGCGACAAGCATCCAAACTGAGTGAGCATTCTGAATCCATCCTGGAGCCCTCACCTGGAATGCACTGCCCAGAGCATGGCCAGACCTGCTCTGAATCCACCATTCATTCTGAATTCATCATTCTCAATCCATCCTGGAGCCCTCCCTGCCCAGCTCCAGCAGCTCCAGCCCCTGGTGTGAAATTGGTGCAGAAATTAAAGAGCCTGTGGGTGCTGCTGCACCTTGTGGTGCTGGCTGAGCTGGCCAGGGACCATCAGCTCCCTCAGCCCCCTCCCACATTCCTGCAGACAGTTTGGGTGCCTGGGCTCTCCTTGGCCTTGGGGACCTTTCCCCTTTCCCGTCACGGGCTGCTTGGTCACTGCTGGGTGCAGCCCCGAGGAGCTGCTCATGAGTGACCCCCTGAACTCAGCAAAGAGGGCGAAACGAGTTAATTAACACAGCCAGGCATTCTCCTCCCCACTTGGGTGTGCTGGGGCTGCCCTTTGGCCCTGCAATCACATCCAGAAATTACTGGAGAAGATAAAAGGCTGGAGAGAGCCACTTCCAGTGCAGATTTAATTTCAGCAGATGGGCTCACGAGGCTGCTGTGCCCTGCTGCCCTTCAGGAGGCAGCTGGGAGCTCTGGGGGCTGCTCTGGGGGTTTGTGGTAGAGGCTCTCTGGCACGGAGAGCAATATAGAACTTCCCAATTGTCCCAGCAGGCCATCCCCAAACGAGTAATGATTAGCACTGACTCCATCATTTACAGAAGGTTGATCAATCTCTTTATTATATAGATCATTATTAAGAAACTCATTGCTTTTATAGACAGTTATGATACAGCTGGGTGGGACATTGGGAACTGGGAATTCCTGGCTGGGATGGGATTGCCAGAGCAGCTGTGGCTGCCCCTGGATCCCTGGCAGTGCCCAAGGCCAGGCTGGACCCTGGGGCTGGAGCACCTGGGACAGTAGGAGGTGTCCCTGCCATGGCTGGGGTGGCACTGGGTGGGCTTTGAGGTCCCTTCCCACCCCAACCATTCCTTCATTCTATCAAAATTAATTTGTGCTGCAGAAATTCAGGATGGGCTTCCTGTGTGTGACATTGGGGGTCACACACTGGCCAGCACAGAGGTGTCACTGGAATGGCACATCCAGCTGGAAATCTGCTCAGGAGATTTCCAAACCAGGTTTAAGGGGCCCCGTGTGCAGAGCATTCACTCATCCCTCCTGCTCCCCCAAGCAGAAAACAGCTGCTGCAGGGGGTTCAGAAGCTGCTCTTATTTACATCTGGAAACAGGAGGTTTGGCTAAAAGGGTTCCTGAGCCAGAGGAAAATGGATTAAAGCTGAGCTCTGATCCTGGGGGCTGCAGGCTGGCACTTACTGAAATGTTCTGCTTCAGAGCCAGTGGCACAAACAGCACTGTGGGTTCAAAGCTCTTTTAGGGCTGCTCTGTCCCTCTGCACCCCTCAGTGCTCCCGAGCCTCCCTTGGCTCCAGGAGCTGGGGGTTGTGTTTGACTCCCTGAAAATGCAGGGCACAGGGAGAGGGGAGCCCTGGGACACCCCTGGGCAGGAGATGGTTCCCCTTTCCTGTGTCCAGCTCTGGGGACTGCAGCTGGAATGAAAATCCAGGTTTAGAAAGCATTTTAGGAAGAGACAGAGAAATTTTCAAACCCTGGCGAAATTTATTAATAAATAGATGTTCTATAACATAATATAATATAATATAATATAATATAATATAATATAATATAATATAATATAAATAATATAATAATCAGTTGTTATAATTCATAATGTGCTACATGTAGAGAGCTCCTAGACATGATTTTTTTAATGTTTATACAGTGTACAGGCAAGTTAGAAATGCATGGGTTTATTTTATATGACTTTAACAGATGATTGCCTAGAAGAAGGAATATAAAAGGAATTCAGAAGGAATACAGAAGGAATACAGCAGGCAGGAGGAGCCGCAGCCCCGAGCAGGGATCCGTTTGCAGTGCTGCTCCCTGGAGCATCCCAGCCTGGTCCTGTGCCATCGGTGGGGCAGCAGGAGGGGTCTGGGGGCGTTTGTGCCCCCAGGAGACGCCCCCGGCCCTGGGACCGAGGGTTCCATATCAACATTCCAGGGCAGCTTCGCTCTCAGGAAATCAATCGTGCTGCAAGTTTTATAAGGCGAGCCGGGCTCTCCTTTCTGCCGGGCTATAGAATGGCCTGAGCATCGCCCCAGGGAACACGCGGGGCACAATGGCCCCGACACGGCGACAATGCCACCCCAGAGTGACAAATCACCGGCAGCTGCTCTGCTTTATTCACCTGAGACTGATGGTCTTGGGAGCCTGCTTTCCTTTATCCACCTGAGAGAGACTGACAGCTCGGGGAGCTGCTCTGTTTTATTCACCTGAGACTGCCCTGGGAACAGAGGGGAGTTCCTGTGGTTAGCAGAATGATAAACACGGGGGACTGGGGAAGCACAAAGGGCCTTTATGCAGCTCTCTGGGAGCTTTATTTGGCTTTGGATAACCAACTTCCACATGGAAGGACCTGCAGGATCGTGTATGTGCAATAGAAGTATGTGTTGCTTCACTGCTCAGGGTTAGTGTAAAGGCTGCTGGAAACTCCAGGAAAAAACCTCCTTTTCCTTGCTGTGAAGAACTTTAAATTTTAAGGATAAACAGGTTGGATCAGACACAGAACTAGAATGTTTTACAGCTCAAGGTTTGAGTCGTTTTTCCAGAGCTGTGCAAAGTTTCCAGTGAATGTTTTAGTGCCGTGTCTGCTGAACAGGTTGGATAGTGCCAGGGACCCCGAGCTCCCTTTGCCCCATCCGAGGAACCCTTCCACCCACCCGGGGGACACCCTGCGGGGCACGGGGTGACGGCCCTGCTTTGGGGTGATTCCAGCGCTTTTGGGGTGATTCCAGCGCTTGTGGGGCAGTGGCTTTCAGATCCCGCTGCCCTAGAGGGGTTTTGCTCGGGCTCCCTCGCACACGGCTCTGCCCGTGCTCCCGAAGTGGCTGCTGTGATTAGAGCTGTAATCTCCGTGCCAGCTTTTACATTTCCGACCGGAGAGGGGAATTAATGCGATTCCCGTGTCCGCCCTTTGGTGCATTTAGCAAACACCGCTGCCTCGGGAGCGTCCGGAACTTTGTTCTCATCCTCAGGGGGACCAAATCCCCAAATTCCTGCGGATCCCGTGGAGAATGGAGATTCCTGCTGGCTGGGGCCCCCGAGGAGCTGCATGAGGAGGAGGAGGAGGAGGGGAGCGCTGGGCACGGGGATGCTCCGGGGCACGAACCGCGCCGCAGTTTGCCCGGGCCAGCCCACGAGGGGCAGGGCTCGCCCTCAAGGTGACACGTGTGGCTTCACCCCCGATGGTCACGGCGCCGGGCGGCCGCACGGCTTTTCCAGAAGGCTCCAGCCGAAGCCCTCGCTGCTCCGAGGCCGGCAGGGGCGCGGGGCCGTGCCCGGGTGATGCCTTTGGGGACCGTGCCCCGGGGCAGCCCGCACGCCACAGACGGCTCCATGAGAAGGTCGCCGCTCTCCTCGCCGGCTGAGCCCCGCGGCCCCGTCTCTAATTACAGCTCGGAGGGAGCGGAGCGGCGCGGTCACTCCGCATGAGGCGAGGCTGAGCGCTGCCCTCCGCGATGCTGGCGGCGCGCACCGGCACCGTGGGCGGCAAGGGCGCCGACGAGGCGCTGAAGCTGCGCAAGCAGTCGGTGCTGTCCGTGGGCAGCCGCGAGCGAGCCCTGCGCGGCTCGGCCGACGGCAGCAAGGACGGCCAGGGCCAGGCCCGGGCCCGGCCCGGGCAGCCCCAGCAGCGGGCGCGGCGCCTGGCGCTGCTGCGGGAGCTGGAGATGAACTGGTACCTGCGGGTGTGCGAGCTGTCCCACGAGTTCACCATCGCCTACACCACCGGCATGCCACACAGGTACGTCCTGCCGCTGTCCTGTGTGCTGCTGGCCGGGGTAACCTGACAGTAATCGTAGTAACAGCAGCAACAATAATAACCACAGAGATAGTAATAATCATAGAAAGGTCCTTGGCTTTGTGAGAGTGATTTTTCTAGTTATTCATGCTGTACCGAGATGAATAGCCTGCAAACTTCTCTGTTGATTGCCAGAACTTCTCCAGCACAAGCTGTGCGTGGTTGCTGAGCCTTGTTTCTAATGTGCCCAAGTGACTGTAGTTTAGTTTGAACAGAGTAGAAAAGTCGCTGCTGTCGAGCAGGGACCGTGTGGGTGGCAGGAGGGTCCCTGTCCCCCCTCCCTGCCTGGGAAGGAGCCCCAGGCAAGGGAAACCTGCAGTGTCTGCATCTCTCGTCCCATCAGTCTTAAATGTCGCAGCCTCCAGAATCTGATCTGCTCCTTTAAAAAAATATAAGGGGATCTTGGTATTAGTGGAAATTAGACGTGCGAGTCTCTAATCTCCTGTGCGGGGTCAGACCCTCGCTGAAATCGGAACCGCAGCAGGAACGGCCCGGGCGCTGCTGCCCCAGAACCGGGAGCAGCTCCGGGACCGCGGGGACGGGAGGGTTCCTTCTCCTTCCCTCGGCTCTTCTTCAGCTCCCCTGGGCTCTCCTCTTCCTCCCCTGGGCTCTCCTTCCCCTCCCTTCGGTGGCAGCCGGGATTTTGGCTGAGAACCGGCCGAGACCCTCCCCAGCCCCCGGCAGGATGGGGGTGCCCGCAGTGCCCGGCACAAACCGAGCTCTCGCAGATGTGCTTGGGCAAGAAATGAACTAGAATATCACAACAACAAAAATTAGGAACGGGATAAGTGAAAGGAAGTAAAACTGGGAGAAGGAGCGAGTGGGTATTGGTGCAGGAGTGTTCACAGGCTGAGGGGAGCACGAGGGGTCTGGGGGCTGGAGGGGGCAGATTCTGGGCCCGGTGCCCCCCAGCCCCTCCAGCCTGTGGCTGGCACCCAGGGGCTCCAACAGCACCATAAAAACAAAGGGCTGGGGAATAACTTCTGGGAGAGCTGAGCTTCTAAAGATCCACACAAGCCCTGATCCTCCAAACAGCAAAATCCTCATGTCCAGAGAGCTCAGAGGAGCTTGCAGGGATATTTCTCAGCACTGGTTCACCTTGCATTATAGATGAGCTGGGGCTGGCAGGAGGTAAAACCAAAGGCAGCTGCAGCAGAGATGGCAGGAACAGCCCTGGGGTTACACTGTGGGGAGGAAACACAGACCCTAGGAGGGACAGCCTGGGGACAGGGCAGGGACAGCCTTGGGGACAGGGCAGGGACACTCCTGGGACACTCCTTTAAATGTCCTTGGGCTGCTGGGTTGAGATCCCCCTGCAACCCCGAGGGATCAGCACTGTGAGAACAGGACCCCCATCCTTGGGCAGGACCCTCCTGGGGACACCCAGGGCCACCCACGCCCTGGTGTGACAGTGACACAAGAATAACGGGGTAATGCCGCTGCTCCTGCCAAACTCCCCTCTGTGACATTGAATTATGAGCTTTTCAAATATATTCTGGGGCTGGGATCAGTCTTTCTTTATCTGCTTTGAAAGATTTAAGGATTAGTTGAGTTCATGATACATCCGTCACTTGATTATTTAACTTATTTTTCTAATGTATTTGGGGCTGAAATGGGGTGAGTTTTTAAAATAGAAGAGTCTCAACATCTGCCTCAGTGGCATGAACCAGACCTTGGCAGAACTGTCTGCTGTGACCAGAAAAGGTCACCGTGGCCCTTGTGGGATGGAGACCATAAAACCCATCCTTGGATTGTTTTTATGGGGGGCCAGGTTGGACACTGGGGCTTGGAGCAGCCTGGGGCAGTGGAAGTGTCACTGCCATGGCAGGGGAGTTTGGAATGAGATGGTCTTTAAGAACCTTTCCAACCCAAACCATTGTGTGGGTCTGTGAACCAGAACATTTTGTTTGCTGTTCAGCAGTGGTGAAATCATTGTTAACATCATCGTTTAGTCCGTGCGAGCTGTCTCACCCCAGGAGGCTGCAGCTGCTGGAGGAGTTCCCAGAGCAGGTAACCCCAGCTGTGAGAGCTGGCAGTGCCCTGAGACAGAACAAGATGTTCCTGTGAGCTGCAGAGGAGATGCCTGCAGAGTTCATCTGGCCAGCCAGGGCCCAAAATACACCCTGGGAGAGTATTTGCTGTGTGTTTATTGGCCTTGGGTTGAATCCCAGGCAAATATTTCTCATCATCTAAATATAAGACCTGGGGAATGGGGTCAGTGCTCTATTCCCACAGCAGCCCTCACCCCTTGGAGAGCAGGGCCAGGAGAGGTCTCAGCAGATGAACAAGATTGCTGATCTTGGCCAAAATCCACCCTGGGCATCTCCCCAAGGGGCTGGGTGCAGTGGGGTGAGGAAGGTTTGGGAGAGCAGCTCTGCCCGGCTTGGGACCCAGCACAGGGA